CAATGTCTTGGTAAAAACACATCAAACATACAAATTTCTGTGAAGCATACTGGTGAGTATACTGGTGTCTGTGTGCATAATGAAGCAGGAGGTGGATAGGGTGGGGGCCAGTAGGGGCTAAACGTTTTGTCCTGGGGCAACCAAACAGGTTAATCTGGCCATGCTTAGTTTAAGACATAAAGCAAATAAGTAATTCTCATATATTTTAGAAACTATTGGAGGTCACATGACCAGAGAATATGAATAAAAGTACATGTAATGCCTGTAAACATGCTCATGAGAGATATAAATAGTGTCTTAAATCAGTTATACTTGTGACTGTGATGCGAAACATGTGAACTTCCACTTGAAGGCCGATCAGACGTCTGCCAACTCTCAGTTGACTCGAGCAGCATTTGACTCCAGGGTTGTTGATAGAAGCAGACTCTGTCCAAACGGCAACATTTTTTCCAGTGAACCTTTGTACTAAGTGGATTTGAATCGATTCCCAGATTAGTCTAACAGTGCCAATTTGTGTCAGTCTCTCTATCATCAGAAGTAAAGTGTTTTTTAAAAGCCATTCTCAGACTGCCGTGATTTTAAACTTCACCTCTCAACACTGCCGGTTCACGAATAGAGGGAAGTCTGTGGGTCTGATCCGTGGGTTGGCTGCTTTATAGATTGCAGTATTGTATAACAGATCATTTTGTGTGGCTTACTTCTCCAAAATGCAGCTCTTAGTGTGTTTGTAAGTTCATGATGTCTAGACACACATCCTGGTGGGTTGGCTGAGCACCCGGCCAATCAGACTCACAGGCCAGAACAAACTGAAAAAAAGAGAACAACAATGAGAACACCAAAGTAAGGACACAAAGTCTTTTTTTGTTGTGTGGTAAACGTGACCTTTCTGTTTGTCATCTTGGAAAAAATCTGATTGTGTGTGAATTACAGAGCCCAGTTTGTTACTGTAGTTCAGTGTCAGTCACTTTGAAACTACAGTGAAGTCAGTTTGAGGAAATGTAGCGGCCACAGTCAGTATCATATCTCACATCTCCTCTGAAAACATACATCTTAAATATTCTTATATCTCTTTCAATATAGATTCTCCTTATTGCCATTTCATTTATTTTACTTGTTCCCCTGTAATTTGCTCCTGTGTAATTTATCCTGATGTATGTTACGTAC